ATACTACGCATGAAAGGACCCGCTAAGTCGAAAACCCGAAAGGGAGGCTTAGGCAAAAGTTAGGGCTAAAAAAGAAAGAAAGAAAAAGAGAATAACCCGCTAAGTCGAAAACCTGAAAGGGCGGCTTAGGCAAAAATGGGTGTCCCGGTGGATTGAAAACCCGAAAGGGCGATCCAGGCAAAAATTAGGGACAGAAAGGCGAGAGATTATAGTCTGAAGACTCTTCACGTACACCCTCCTAATGCGGGATAGATCGATCTAACTATTATCCTTTGGAAGCACGACACTAGGATGACCCGGGATGCGAGAACTATAGCAATATCAATTTTAACAGAAATTCGAGATTTTATTATTGCCATTTTCCTCGTTGTATTTCTTTTTTTCTCTGCAACTTCCTCATTTAGGAGTTGTTTATATGTATGAATGCCCATTTACGGGCCAAACTCATTAATAAAAATTTGCCCTTCCATTAAAAAAAATTTGTTATGTTCTTTTACTTTATTCTTCGTATGCGAATTGTGATTTAAATTCTTTGTTAAGCATTGCATTGGAAAAAATAAGTCAATAATAATCACGAGCTAAGATGTGAAACACTACATTACATGGATATGAAGGCATCCCAAGGGAATATTGTAGCGTTCAAGTGTTCGTTCTTCTGTGCAGGTAGCAAGTCATAACGGTCACCTGGACTAAGATATCATCCTCATCACCTCCTTACAATCGATCGAGCGCCCGATTCTCCCACACAGAGAGACTCGGGGCATTGGTTGAGGTCCGCGTCTCTTTTTTCTGTTATTCACAAGGCCCAACACATGAAGGAAGCCAGAGCAAGTCATTTCTCGTCAGCAAGATTTAATTCCCCAGTGAACTCGGCGGGGCTAACTCTTTTCTCTTAAATTTCGAGCACCAGTCCATATTGGTACCTCAAGAGGACGAGCGACAGACCCTAATGAATTTTTAACACTTTGCATACAATGATCATCACGACCTACTGCATTGCATCCCCAAACGCATAGCATATCCATGGGCCATCATGTCACACCTCAAATGCATATGAAGCCTGAGTCAGATCAATCCCAAATCAACCAAACATCCTCACAAAGAATTTCATCCTCATAATTCCTAGTTAACATCTGTTATTACACTACCAACTAAAATAAACCAGGGTGTTAGTACATCATGCTCCCCAACTCTCAATACTCACTTTATCTCTCTTAGGATCGTAGATCGTCCGTAGACTTTACCCTCTCCTCCTCGTATTCTTAAGGTCGTAGATTGTTCGTAGATCATTCGTAGATCTTACCGTCGCTTTATCTTCCTAGGGTCGTAGGTCGTCCGTAGACTTTACCCTCTCATCATCTTTTTTTAAGGTCGTAGATCATCCGTAGATCTTATTGTTGAGTTATCTTTTAAGGTCGTAGATTGTCCGTAGATCTTACCATAGTGGTGTCTTTTTAGGGTCGTAGATCGTTCGAAGATCTTACCTTCACTTTATCTTTCCTAGGGTCGTAGGTCGTCCGTAGACTTTACCCTCTCATCCTCTTAAGGTCGTAGATCTTACCATCGCGTTATGTTTTTAAGGTCGAAGATCGTCCGTAGATCTTACCATCGTGTCATCCTTCTAAGGTTGTAGATCGTCCGCAGATCTTCCCCTCACTTTACTTTTCCTAAGGTTGTAGATCGTCCGTAGATCTTACTTTCACTTTACCTCTCTTAAGGTAGTAGACCATCCGTAGGTCTTACCTTTGTATTTTTAGGGTCGTAGATCGTCCGTAGATCTTACCACCGCGTTATATTTTTAGGGTCGCAGATCGTCCATAGATCTTACCTTCACTTTATCTCCCCTAAGGTCGTAGATCGTCCGTAGATCTTACCGTCGCGGTATATTTTTAGGGTCGTAGATCGTCCATAGATCTTACCATCGTGTTATCTTTTTAAGGTCGTAGATCGCCCGTAGATCTTACCGTCGCGGTATCTTTTTAGGGTCGTAGATCGTCCGTAGATCTTACCATCGTGTTATCTTTTTAAGGTCGTAGATCGCCCGTAGATCTTACCATTTCATTATATTTTTAAGGTCGTATATCATCCGTAGATCTTACCGTCGCGTTATCTTTCTAAGGTCGTAGGTCACCTGTAGATCTTACCGTTGCGTCATATTCTTAGGGTTGTAAGCCTTCCACAGACTTTACCCTCGTGTTATCTTTAAGTTTCTTATGAATCCTACCTCCAGTCACCGCGACATTGTCAACCATATCCTTTCAGTCACTCTACCACTCATTCCCTCAAGAACCTTGTATTGGCACTGTTCCCCCAGTACAAGCTCCCCTTTTTCAACCATGTTTTATCCATCATGACCAGTCTACCAGAAGACCAGTTTGTCTTTCCCCAGCAGACATACACACCAATGAATAATACTCGCACCATCTCTCCAGGGCAAACTTCGGGTCCTAGTATTTAATCATCTTCCACCTTGAACTCTCTAAAGGCTGACTCCAATCTCGCCTTCAGGTTTAAGACAATTAAATAGGGGCAGCTGTCGTACCCCAAATTTGCCCTATCTCTTTTATTTTCGTCTGGCTTTGGATTTTGCATTCCATTTGCATCATTTTATTACTCAGTCATTTGCATATCCCGCATCTCAGGGAATCAGACGCTTTGGTTTGAGGTATTAAGGCCGCGCCCTCTTTATGTCTAATCCTGTTTTGAGGTTTTCTTATCAGGTAAAAGGGAAACGCATATGGTTCTCGATTAGTGGATCATGGAACAAATTGTGTCGTCATGTTACAAGGTTGGTTCTTGCTCAAATTTATCAGAGCCTGGTCTAGGGTTTATTTCCCTACGGGTGCTGGTCAAGATGCTAGGGTTTCGGGTCTTTGGTTTCTGGGGAGATGTTTCTCTCGCCTGCCTCGAAGATGGCTCAAAGCTCAGTGCATTAGGTCAAGAATTTCATCTCCTTGCATTTCAAGTTTTCTTCTTAAAGTCTCTAAGCCATTGATTTGAGAGTTTGAAGTTTAAATTGGAAAATGTGGAGTTTGAGCACTTCAGGAAATAAGGTTGGAGGTTCATGATAATCAAGACATGTTTCGGCTTTTTAAAGTTACAGGTTACTTGCGATGTGAGTGTCAAAGTTAGAGTTCTGTTTAAGAAATGCAAGTTTGGTTCAAGCGTCATTTGAAGATCAAGGTTTAAGCGACTGGTGTTTTGGGTTCAAATTAACCAGAGGGAATTAAATTCTTAAGCATTTATTTCGTTTTAGAGTTTGATTGGATTTTGAAAGGTAAGGTGCATGATTTATTACTTGAGGCACAAGTTATGAAGATCATATTTGATTTCTTGAAGTTCAAGTTACAAAGGCAAAGTGTATCATCTGAACTATTCAAGTGAGAATTCCAAATTTTAATCAAGATCCAAAAGTTGTTTAATTTCCATACAACAAAGCTCATCATCCATAGAATTCATTCAAGTGTTGTATTCAAGTTACATTATTTTAGGCAAATTACAAAGGAGATACAAATGTGAAATGCGAGTTACAAATATGTTTTTTTACAAAAAAAAAGAAATAAATGTTTCTTCTTCAAGCCTCTTTGCTTCATCTTCAAGAAACTCATCCGCTCCTTGCTAGCTATGGCCTTTTCATCTTTTAACCTTTCCTCGATCATCCAATCCTCGGGTTCATGAAATAAGAAAAAAGAAAAAGTTAGCAAGCAATTGATATGTGAAAATTTCCCAAACAATTATTTGTTAAAATAAAAATGCTCATCATCAGGGTTGGTATTTGGAATCAGAAATCAGAAGGGGTCTATCTTTAATCATGGACCATTTCTCCCAGTTGTAAATCACAAAAAGTTTCCCTTTTGGTTCACAAAAAGAAGAAAGAAAAATTGCAAATATTCTCTTGTTGCTAAAGCGAAACAGCCAAAGAAATGCAGCCCAAAGGCCAAACATAACAGCGCAAGCAGCAAGCACAAAACAGCAAGTCACAGGCTAGCAAACAAGCAGCAACAACAGGCCGAGGAAGACACACCAGAATAGCCTAGCAGAACAACACAAAAACAACAACAGTAGGCCAGCAACGCTACAACGATGTCATAGCAGCAAAAAAAATATAAAGCAAAACAGCCCACAATGGTCAAACGAACAGAAAAGCATGGCAGCAAATAATAGCAACAATTCATAATAAAGAAACAAGCCAACAACCAAAATCCCCACGCATCATCATGTTCCAAAGTACCAACCCTTCAAAATTTTCAAAAAAAAAAGGCCAAAGCAGTTTGCATCATTGAAAGATAAAGAGGAAAGATAGAACCTGCACATTACTGCCCAAACCTTCATAAAATTGTCCAACAAAACAAGACAAACCAAAACCTGCTGCATAATTATGTACAGCCTGCATACAAGCACCAAAATAGACAAAAACAGAACCTGCATTTTAAAAGCACAAAACCAGTATACCAACAATGTTCAAAACCTCAGCCAATTCCCCCCCCCCCCCACACTTTTTCCATCTTTGTATCATTATAAGAAGGGCCATTTGCTACATTGAGGAGGGGATATCTTTGGAGACAGCCAGCAAAATCAAGAACAAGAAGAGAATCCAAAAATTCAGCAAGAGTGAAAAGAAGAAAAAAGAGCTTTTGTTCCAAAAGATTCAGCAAGAAGAAAAACTTAACGTTTTAAAGCCCCATCGGAGAGGCTCTGATAAGTATTTTTTTCCTCTTTGTTTACCTCTGCATAATTTCCTCATACATACATTTAAATCCTCTCTTTCCACCAATTTCATACCATATTTATTTCTAACCTCTCATCAAAACCTTCAAAAAAATTTCATACAACTTATCAATCTTTCACATCCCCCTGCTTCTGCAAGACGCAGTTTTCACACAAAAAAAAACTCAGATTGAAAATTTAAAAAATGCACGATAAAAACTCAGAAGAAATTCAAGAAAAACTCACCAATCAAATATCTCTCTTTGCTCCATTTTATCAACACGCCTCTATCTTCACGTAGCATCCAGATCCATCATCTTCAAACAACCTCTCTGCATTTCAATCATCATTCTCACCTGCTGTTTCAACTCTGCTTCAGTTAAACGACAACACACAAATTCAATCAACAATAAAAATACAAGACATAGGGAAATCAAAAACACAGCGAGCCGAAACAAAAGTGCAGAATCAGAAATAATTTGTAAAAAAGGAAATACAAAAATGAATTGCACCTAATCTGGTTTTATTGTTTATCATCGTCGCTATTGAATATTCGTAGGATGAATCTGAGATAACCGAGAGAGATAGAGTGAAGTTTGAAACAATTTGGAAAGAATTAAGGAGATCAATGCGTTGAGATGGGGCCAAGACGAAGCATGACGAGGATGATGAACGCGTGAAGGCGCTGAAGCGCAACTGACATGAATGATGTCAATGAAGAAGGCAGAGGAAGAACCGTAAGTGTTGAATCAATGTCGAAGGTTGGGATTGGATGAAGTAGAAGAATGAACGACGGAGGTGATGATCTGGGAAGAGAGTGAAACGCGATGATGTGAACAGTAAGAGAAGAAGAAAAGCATAGGGTAGCAGTGAGAGAGATGAACAGAGAAGCATGAGTTAGGAGAGATGAGAGGCGCTGCATGTTAGTAGGGTTTCCAACCCGTTTTGTTTTAGGGGTTTCTGGGTCCAGACCCCTCTGACCCGGTCCGGCCCAACTAATTTTTTACATTTAGTTTTTCTTAAATTTCTTGTTTTAAAAATTTTTGGGTCTGCTACCTTTCCATCCCTAAGCCCAATCTGAAATCTGCGTAAACACACCCCCTTGTTTGCTAATTTCCAGCCCACTTTCTTATTTGCATTTAATTTCTTTTTATTTGTTTTAGCTTATTTTTTATGCTTGTTAATTGTTAATATAAATTAATTTGGTAAATCGATTTTTATTTAGTTTGGCTAATTTTCCTAAATTAGTTTTATTAAGTAATTTCAATTAACTTGATTAATTTTTGTTTGCTAATCATTTAATTTTTAGTTGTTTAATCTCCTTTCGATTATTTGATCTTTGTATTCTGCTTATGATTAATTCAAGGGAAATATATATCCCTTAGTCGATTTCATGTCATCGAATATATAATACGATTGTGCAAATACCCTCATTCTTTTTTTCCCTACTATTTTGCTAAACTTAAGTTAAATCTCCTAAAAAGTCAAATTTTCAAACTCACACCTTTTAGGTCAAAACTTCTACATTAGGTCGTCGTATCTTCGAAATCTCATCCACACCCATTTTGACCAAACAAATCAAAAAAATCCAAAAACACTCTTTAATCATTACTTGAATTTATTTTAAAACTCGCAAAAACACTCAACCAAGCAAAACTTCCCCAAAGGGCATGTTATCTTCGTTCTACCGCGATATCGGCCGTGCCTATTGCTAGAATACGTGCGTTAACGTTGCCTATTAAAAAACACAAACAAACCAACCTTTTTCTAGAGGAACTATGGTGTTCTGATTCCTTCATTGGATACGTAGGCAAAGGGTCGCGAAACCCTCACGAACGCAATAATAAAAAACTCATTCATTTCCCCTTAAACAAGCCTAGTTGTAGATAAATACACCCTTTAATACAAGCAAACAAAATGGATCCCATTGAGTACAACGGATGTGAGGGGTGCTAATACCTTCCCCTCGCATAACCAACTCCCTTACCCTTTCTCTTGGTCGTAAGACCATCTTATCCATCCCCTTGTGGTTTTATCGATATTTCCCCTTCCTTTGGGATAAATAAAGTTCGGTGGCGGCTCTGTGTTTTCTGCCGGTGGCTTCAGCCTCAAACAAAAATTAACTTCCAGCACAGGATTTTTAGTGAGTTGCACGTACTTCGGGCCAAAAACGGAAGCCTTCGGGGTATTGTTCGTTCGTGGAAATTGAAATAAAAATTTATCTAAATCAATTTGTGAGACAATGTCATTGGAACAAGCTCGATACGATAAAAATTGACTGAGCTATGGTTTTTTGAATATGGTGCAGATAAACATTTGCCGCAAATTTCCTATACGAACACACTTGATAAATCCATAATTTTGGAGTCCTTCTAAGCAGAATTAGCTTATGGGCGTGAGATATGAAAATGTAGAGGACATTGACACGGAGTTTTGGCCACAAAAACAGGTTCAAAACAAGCCACAGGCTCCGAGTTATGAAATTTTTTAGTGCATAAAAACTGCACTTTCAACATACTCTTTCACTGTATTTCTTCGAGAAAACTCGCACATTTGGAGATCTTCTCCGAAGAATTGGCTCTCGAGCCACACATGAATTTGAGAATACGTCACTAGGGATATCTTGGCGAAAGAACACCTGAATATGATGAATCGGATTGGCCTTGTGAATTTCTGAATACCCGAACCGTTGGAAAACGACAGACCGATTATTAGCATAAAAGATATCCTGAGAGCGTCTATTAACGAAATAAACGTCTCTTGAAATTTACCGAGGCTCATCTAAAATACATTGATCCCATAACAATAGAACCAATAATATGTATGCATATGATGATGCAATATAAGACAAATTAATGTCAAAATGAAGAGGGAAAATTTTGGGGTACAACACATAAGTGTTAATGTCAAACCTTTGTTCCCAACAAATAGTGCTGATGTCAAACCTTGTTCCCAACCATAAATGTTGATTTCAAACCTTTGTTCTCAGTCATAAGTGCTGGTGTCAACCTTTGCTCCCAGCCATAAGTGTTGGTGTCAACCCTTATTCCCAACCATAAGTGATGATGTCAAACCATTGTTCCCAGCCATAAGTACTGATGTCAAACCTTATTTCAATCCATAAGTGTTGATGTCAAACCTAGGTTCCCAGCCATAAGTGCTGATGTCAACCTTTGCCATAAGTGCTAATGTCAACCTTTGTTCCCAACCATAAGTGTTGATGTCAACCTTTGTTCACAATCATAAGTGTTGATATCAAACTTTTTTCCCATCCATAAGTACTGATGTCAACCTTTGTTCCCAGTCATAAGTGTTGATGTCAACCTTTGTTTCCAGCTATAAGTATTGATGTCAACTTTTGTTCCCATCCATAAGCGCTGATGTCAATCATTTTTTTCCAGTCATGAGTACTGATGTTAATCATTCGTTTACTAGTCTCGAGGTCGACGCTTACCGTCATCTCTGAGCCGATATTATCTTGTTGTTTCTATTTGCATCCTTCGGGTTGGTAGTTTATGATCCCTTGTGAGTCGATGTTACTCTCTTTTTGCTATCTCCTCTATGAGTGGGTAGTTCATAGTTATCTATCTGTCGTTGTTACACATTTCTTTTTCCTTATTTGTTGAGTTGATGATACTTTGTCTCCTCTTTGGGCTTTACCCCAGTAGAATTGAGTTTTCTTTTCTCCAGCAGAGTTGATTTTCCTCAAATGGAGTTGAGTTTTCTTTCCTCCGGTCGAGTCAATAATCCTTTCTTAATGGTTATTTCCTTGATAGTTTGTTACTTGCATTGTTAAGAGTTTCCATTGTTGAAATCTTACTATGCATTTGGTTTCTTTAATAATGATTTTGGATTTACCTGTTTATAGCTATCCCCAGAGTCGTGTTATTCTCCAGAGATTTATTTTCCTGGTCGAACTCTCTTTTTGGTTCGTTGGTTTTATTTTCTACTTCTCCAATGGTGTTCTATCTCACCTTTAGAGTTGGTCGCTTGCATTCATAATCATAAGAATTGCATGACATCTTAGAGCCAAAAATAGGGTTTGTTTTGTATTTAAGTATCTTCAATCGCGTCTAAACAATGATTTTAACCTTCGTATCTCCAGATAGAAGACACTTAAATAAGGGCAGCTGTTATACCCTAAATTTTACCTATAAGATCTCTCATTATCTCATATTATCAATACATTAAGATCACACATTAGGTTTGGTTCTCTCTTTCTATTTCAAATAGGGCGGAGAGAGATTGGACGAATGAACACATAGAGAGATTGGACGATTGAACATAGAGATAGATAAGTAAGGATTGGAAAAAGTACTTGTTATATGCTCATAGTTATATGCATTTGTTTACTATTATCCAATACATTTTATATTCTACTTGAGAAGGTTTTGGCAACAGAGGATGCATGTTCCAGGAAAGATTTGACCACATACACAAAAGAGTAACATATCAACCTTCATGTTCTGGCATAAAATGCAAAACAGGTTGAAACTAATATACCACACCCACATACAAAGCATTTCATCTATTTATAACAATAACCAAATAAAATAGCAGCAACCTCTTCGTTCCAAGAGCGAGCTTTTTGTAGAGAATTATTTGATACGGCAGAGAGTATATCAGTTCCAGTTGCATAAATTAAATGTTATATACCAACAATTAAATAAAATAAAATCAAACATGAATCTGTATATTAATACTAAAATGCAAAATTAATAACCATAATCAAATATAAGAGAAAGAAGAAGAGATCTTAATTAGGTGAAAACATTTGTAATGGGAAATAGCTTAGCATTCTTCCCATTAAACACATAATCTTATTCTAAAAAATAATCTTCCCATCAACTTACATAATATATGTAGTATATTAAAAAATAGAACTATTCATACTTAATAAAATAATTAAATGTTAAAGACAATGATTTATCCAAGAATTTACCACTTATTGTATACACATATTGATCCAAATACCGCTCATCTTGACTGACCTAAATCAAGCAGAATCAATTAAGGTTTAAAATCTAAAAGAGGATCAAGCAATTTGGTGACAATAGAAATGTAGAGGAGATCATAAGAATCAGTAAAGAAACCCTCATTTCATGCGCCGTTTCCTTTTCCTAACAAATATAATTACGTGACTAACATACCATTGTTAGCAGCGGAATCTGACTACTACCACACCAGCTCGTCGGAGGCCCAACATAAACAACAATCACCTCCAAGTTAGTTGTGAGACCGATACCAATCCACTGCAAAAACACGTACCCACTACTCGATCCTGACTGTTGCATTGGATACCGTCAAAAGGAACCTCCAAACACAATAAAAACTTAGTCCTACTTGATATGGTTTTGTGTTTGTTTGAGTTTAAATTGATTTTGTTTGTGTTTTACGAGTGAGAAATGGGGAAGATCTGGAGAAGAGAGAGAGAGAGTCATTGAGAAAAGAGTGATATCAATGATATGAGGAAGAGAAAGAAAAAAGGAGATGGAAGAGGAAAATAAAATTTAATACAGAGATAAATGCGACGAATACAGCTAGAGAATTAATAAGTGTTAGTGACGAATACAACAAGAGAATTAATAAGTGTTGGTGGCTTTTCATTACTCAAGAAAATTCAAATGAAAGTGTTGTTTCCGAAGTAGCTTCTCAAATATCTAAGAGAGGATTTTTATTTAACCAAATAAGTATAAATTAATATAAAATTATTTCAAAATTATTTTAAAAATCTAATAGCATGACATATAAGCAATATTAAATGCCAAATAAATGTGGTTTCATCAAAGCTTTAAATAGTCAGATTTAACCCTGGAATCAGAAATGATTAATTATTATTTTTTAAATTATACCCTTTTAACTATTACTAATTTTATAAGTTCCAATACTAAATTATGAATATTTTTGCAAAAATATCATTCTTCTCTTACTTTTAACAACTTTTCTTAATATCCGCTAAAATAGTGAACTGAGTCGGTCATCGTAAAGACAGAGGGAGTAACTGTTTTCTAAGTCAAACAATTCTACAACTTCTATGTATTTATATATGCATAACAATATTTCTTTCACATTAGGCTCTGTTTGGATTTCATTTCCAAATCACTTCTTGCAGAAGTAATTCACACACACACACACACACACTTCTAAATGGCTGAAAGTGGGGACGAACACAGACCAAGCCTTAATCCTGAGAAATAGAGCTTTCTCAATTGCCACATGGAGAAGCACTTCACCTCCGGGGAGATCGTGCGTGATATCATCATTGGAGATTCTGATGGTCTCATTGTTCCATTCTCCCTTGTTGTAGGTCTATCTGGCGCTAATGCTACTTATTCTATTGTAAGCATTTTCAGTATCGCTGAAGTCGCCACTGGTGCAACCTCCATGGGTCTTAGAGGGTAATTTTCATCACAACACTCAATTGAAGCAAATTTTGTTTGGATTTTTGATTTGCAGTTATTTGGTAAAAGGTGAAGTTGATCGTTATACTACAGAATTGAATAGGTAACAAGATGAAATCGTCAGCGTACCAGAAACTGGTTTGCACTGCACCTTTCTCTCTGATCTCAATTGGAAATAGAAATTTATTTTTAAAAATTATGGCTGAACTATAACTCAAAGTCAGAGTCATTCATGCTCTCCCTTTAGGCTGAGGGCGACTGAAGTAAGACACATTTTTGTGAAAGGTAACATCTTTATAAACAAAGTACTTATGACTGAAAGAATGATAACATTTGTTCCCTCTTCTATAAGGAGGATAACCCACAAAGACACATTTAAGCGCACATAAATCCAACCTACTTTGGTGTACCTTATGAACATGGACAAAAACTATATAACCAAATACTTGAGATTGAGACCCTACAACATAGAAGCAGAAGGAAAAAGTGAGATCATAAACTAAACATGAATAACATTACCTATAATACGAGATGACATTTGATTAATTAGATCACCTCAATATGATTTTGGAAAAGATATTTGGAAGAGAAGTGCTCAAGTGACTTCAAGTAAGTGATAATTTTTTTCAGCAACACTATATTGTTGTGGGGTGTTCACATACGTGAATTCATGGATAATGTCTTGTTAACTAGTAAAGCCGTAAAAACTGTAATTGGCCAATTCTTTATCATTGTTAGAACATATTCTCAGGCTGAACACTATTTCAGAATTTCAAATAGTTTGCGATTAAGATGGAAAAAATAAACTGTTGTGACAAAAATTAAGAGCTCGTGATATCTATTGGGCTTAGAGGCCACTTGGTTTGGCTCATTTGTGTTGCAACTGGTTTTTAAATCAGAGTCGCCACCCTTAGTTTTTATCCTAAGAAAGGGAATATAAAGGAATAACCCTAAAAAGTTCAGAGATTATAGATTGTTGACTCGGTTTTAGACGAAGGGAAGGTGTTAGAACCCCTTGTCTACCTTGTTCACAAGGATACTAGGGTTATAAGCTCAATTTTAGGAATAGGGTTTTAATGCTTTATTAGATGAACTCGTCACGATTTTAGCCGTACGCCTACGTATTCTCTTATGAGGAATCAGAGTCCCAATTCGTAGTTCGCAGTTTGGTGGGTGTTTTTAGAGGATTGTGTAGAATTGCTTTCGCATTAACCTTGAACCTTTTCTGGGTAGTAAGTCGAGTGATCGTAGATGTGGTTCACAGTTTGATTTGAAGATAATGTTATTTAATCATTTTTTGAAAATAATTTTGTAGTTTTTGTTATGTTAGTAGAAAAATGATTTGAATTACTGGTTAGCTTTTTAAGTTGATTGATCGAGTATGGTATGGCAGAGAGCGGGGGAAATCTGATATAGTCTCCTCATCATGTGGCTAGATATGGGTCACATGTCACTCGCGGATGGAGTATTGCATGGATTTTAATATTGAGTTAATTTAATTGTGAAAATTGTTTGATTTTTGAATAATAAACTGGTAGACGATGTGTCGACCAATTTTATTACTCGAAGATGGACACCCTATTATTTAATGAGTATTTAAATTACTTTAATCGGTCAGTTAAAGATATTCATAAGTTAATTAATCTAAGAAATAAGATCCTAATAAAACATGTTTTTATATTTTTAGTATTTTTGTTAGCCAATAATAAAACTAATTAAAAATAAATTAATAAAAAAGGGCCCCTCCATTTCTCCCATTCACCATTTCTATAAAAAAAACAATAATACGATATAAAGAAAGAAAAGAAAAAAATACTATATAAAACTATGACCTTGTCTACTCTTTAGAAGCCTCCAATCTCAATATGACATGTGGCTATTAACAATAATAATAATTAAATAAAAAAACATAAAGATACAAAAGTGAAAAAGAATCAGATCTTTCCTTCCTCTCTATCATTTCACAAAGGCTCTTCTTCTTCTAATTCTCCTGTTCTGATTTTCTATTCTTCCTGCAAAAACAAATCTAGATTTGTTTTGATGATTATGATAGTGAACAAATTTCCAATCTAAAACCTTCATGAATTTGAATGTTTGTTGTGATTGTGAGAAATTTGCAAATTAAAATCCGTGTTGATTTTTAATATGGTGTTGTTGTTATCTTTAGTAAGATAGAGGTAAAGTCATGTGTTTTACAGTTTTTATGTTATTGGCAAGTGAAAAAGAGTATAGTTAAAATTTGTGAGTTAAAAAAAGTGATGATATTGGCTTGTCTAGGGTGGAATTTTGTGTGAGAATACAATGAATATGGATGACTGAAAATTATATGAGAGACTTTGAGAAAAAAAATTTAGAATATGCACAACTGCACTGCAAATATTAAACGTGGGCAAGGTTTATGTGTGAAAAATTGGCCTTTGGATATTTGTGTATAAAAAGTAGTGCATATGAAAATTGAGTAAAAATTAGCATACAAAAATATAATCTAAAAAATTTATATGTCATCAGATAATACATCCTACGGTAATAATAAAATATATTAAAATTAATAAAAACAGGATCGAAAACAAAAGAGAGAAAGGGTGGGGGCCTCATATGAAATCACCGGCAAAAAGAATAACACAAATAATATTATTCGCCAAGAAAACTTTGAAATGAAATTAAAAAGAAAAAGTGTGAATGAGTGACATTGTGAGAGATTGTAAAATTGTGTAATTTGTGGATGAATCACTAGGATAAACTAAGGTCCTATTTATATACTTGAATTAGGTTAAACAAGCTTAGGGAGTAAGTTATCCAAAAGCCCAATGAGAAGCCCAAAGTTTGATCTCCACAAAAGGAAATAAAATTAGAAACAAAAAGAAATAAAAAATGTTAATAATGCAACACACAAGATTCAAACCTACGACATCATATTTGCAAACTTAATTCTTTATCAATTGTGCTATGTTAATCATTTGTAAATAAACTCAATTGAAAGTATATGAAAGGTGTGCAAATATTTATTATTTTAAAAATACAAATAATTTGAAATAAATTATTATATTTTTAACTGGACTTGAGAACAAATGTCTATCAAAATCAAATAATATTATAAAAACAATGTTTAAAATATCTTTGACTGGACTTGAGAATGAATATCTATAAAAATCAAATAATATTATAAAAACAATGTTTAAAATATTTTTGATTGTAGAAATAAAAGGACGGGAAAATTTGGGATATGACAGTTGCCCCTATTTAATTACTTTTCGATTGAATAGTGTGAGAATACGTATGTGATACGGTGGCAGAACCGACTGTTATACTGGTTTTGCATTTTGCATTCGCAAATGTCGCGGTAAGCAAGAGTCGCCACCGAATTTTCTTTTATCCAACAAAGGAAAGGGTGAAAAGAACAGAAAAAAGACCTTTTGAGAGTTTTCTGAGTAAAGGGGGTAGATTATGCAAAGGGAAGGTGTTAGCACCTTTTTCATCCGTGGTTATCTACAGGCTCTTAGATGCTAGCTCATTTTGAAATACCTTGTGCTTTGTGTCTTTTTGAAAAGTATTTTTAAAATTCATTTGTGTGGCAAACTTTGTAATGTTTCTGATATCGTAGAGAACGTATACAAAGTGTCTTTGAAAATATTTTTTTGAAAAGAGTGTATGTGTGGAAAATTGTTTTATTTGAGCAAGCATCTAAGAACTATCTACCTACTCGAAAAGGATTGTTCTTTTCTTCTTTTCCTTTAGATAATGTTATCCTACTATTAGTGAGTAGGTAGCCCTATCGTTAGATGTTTGAGGGACAGGCGTAGGGTCATCGTTATGGTCATTGAAGGAAACATGTAAGGATACCTTTAGCAATTTGAAGGGACATCATCATATATTCGTAGGCAACATCGAATGAC